CAGAGACCTGGAGCATGTCCCCAAGGGGCTGCCTCTCGCTGAGGCCCCTGGGGGTGTGTGGTCCCCCTGCCAGGGCCATGGTGGCAGGAGGAAGGAGGATACAAATCCTTTAGAAAAATAGTTCTTTAATTGTAAAGCATTCACAGTAGAGGTGCCTGCCTGGGTGGGAGCAGGGCCTGTGCCCAGTGGCACACGAGTGTTGCTGCTGTCGGCCTGCATGGGCTGTATGGTCGCTGAAGGCTTGAGGAACAAGAGCCAACCCTTTCCCTGCAGGCACCTTCCTGGGCACCCACAGCACAGCTCAGTGTCTGTCAGGATTGCACTGACTGGGGATCAGGGCTGAACCCTGTGTGCAGCCTCACCGGGCCCCACACCGAAGGTCTCTGCTTTGCTTGCACAAGTCCTTGGCCAGGTCGTGGAAGAAGAAGCGCAGCTTGCCCTGCACCAGCTGCCGGTAGGTGAGGAAGATGCTGGTGACATGCATCTGCTCCATGGAGCGTGAGGAGCAGCCCGGCTCCCAGGGTCCTGCCTGAGGGGTGAGAGTGGGACAGGGGGGTGACAAAACCATCGTCCCCAGCCCAGTGCAGCCGGCACCTGCGCCAGGGTGGCCTGACTCATGTGGGGGAGGTCTCACCTCCCAGCTGAAGGTCTGCAGGAGCAGGAAGAAGGAGTTGGCGTGTTGGTAAAGGTGGCTCAGCTGCCTGGCCCCGCACTCCTGGTCCTGGGCCCCTGCCACGGCACCCACCAGCAGTGCCAGGTCACAGAGGATCTCCCGCCGCTTGGTCTCATTCTAGGGGAGCAGGCAGTGAGCAGGCCCAATTTATTCTTCTGCCCACCCTAGGTCTGGATGGGGTCCTTCATGCCCCCCCCCTTCACCCCCCTGTGCTGCCAGGTATGCCCACAGGCATCTCATTCAGCATTTCTGGTGCCTGTACCAACCTGTGGGCACCCCCTCCAGCCCTGTGGGCGCCCCGGTGCCAGCACCATCCTCCCAGCCCCTCTCACCGATTTGGATTTCCACTGCTGGAGGCTGAAGTCCACCAAGGGCAGCACTGTGGGGCAGCTGAGCGCAGGCAGTGCCTGGCACTGGCCCTAGGGCGGGGAGAGGAGATGCTGAGGTGGGATACCAGGAGCTGTACCTGTCCCTGGCCTTGGGTTTTGGGGGGACTGTATCCTCACCGCTCTCTTCTCCATGTCCTTGGCCTCCCCGATGTACTTCTGGATGAGTCTGTTGTCGCAGACCAGCCGTGCTGGGCTGGCATGGCTCTCTTCCATGTGCAGGAGGAAGGATGTGAGGAGGAGGAGTCCTGGGGGAGACAGGGTTACCTTTGGGGCTGTGCCCCCCTCCCTGGGCAGCTCCAGCCCAGGGCTGTGCCTGCAGGGGCAAGCCCTTGCCTCAGCCTGGTGGCGCCCTCGATGGCCCTGTGGTTGGGGGCACAGGGGGAGGTCTAGGGGGCTGAGGAGAGCCTGGCACTGCTCTGTGGTCGGGCCGCACAGGGGCCTGGCACTCCCTGGGGAGGGCCGAAGTTTCCCTGCTGTGCCAAAAGGCAGGTGGTGCGTGCCAGGCTTTTTGGCCCCGCTGCAGGCGGGGAGCAGAGCCGCGCTCCCTGCACAGACCAGGGCCAGCCCTCCCAATCTGTGCCAGGAGCAGCTCCAGGCGTCACGTGCGCTTTGGGGAATCCCTGCCTGCAGCCTTCCGTAGCTGC